TTTACCAATGGGAAAAAGAAATCCTGAGGTGAACAAATGTTCCCAAGATCAATAACTAGTTCAGAAGCAGAGCCAGTTCTAAAAGGAATACCTGCTTTCTGTCTCCTGCATCACTTTTATCCCACCAGTGAGAAGGTCACGGGCATTAGGCCCAGTTAAAAACTTAGCAGAACCAAGTCTGGCTTACTGTGCACCCAGAACATTATTGACTTACCATTCTGCCATTTTACTCTGTCTGTCTTCTGGACGGTGAAGACATATGGTTATTATCTGAGGTGCATAGTTATCTCAGGACAGAACATTTTTGTTCCAGGTTGATTTTCCCCTCACCTGTAGCTTGTCACTGTAGCATGACCCTGCTACATGACAGGAGGACTAGCCTGTTCCTGCTGGGGAAGGGGGTTGGTTCAGTCACTAGTCCAAGACAATCAAGGCTCCCTCTGCAGGAGGAGATGAAGTACAGAACTTACATTCACACAACACTGGCCTTAACCTCGGTGAGAGCTATGCTTACAGGAATTGCAGGATCAGCAGTTGAGACTGGAATAAAGTAAAGCTTAAGTGGTAGATTATGATCAGGAGTAAATTCCAACTTCTTACTGTGATCTAGATCTCCCTCTACAGGTTCCCACAGCAAAGTCCACAAAAGAAACTGGGTGGACCCAAGTTGCAGTGTGTGTTTGGAGAACCTTGACAAAGCACAGAAGTTACAACAGGCGTCAGCAAAGTTTAGGAAACACTCAGCTGTTTTGAACCCCTGGGCCCACCGGGCTCATAATATTCCACTTTAGCAGCCAGTACCCAGGATAGTGCCTGGTACAAAGCAGTGCTTAATTACTCTTTATTGGATAAATGAAAGAATGGATAGATAGGTTCACATTCCTTGCCAAACTCATGAGAATTCTCATCCTAATGTGACAGAATAAGTGACTACGGTGGCTGCCTCCCTGCGTCCAACCTCAGAGAGGCACAAATGATGGCAGAAGCAAGCTCTGCTGTTACCTTGGCACAAAGCCATGCCCTTTTCAACTATGCATGGATGGAGGTGGGAGTAGGGACCCCCCCAGCTGGTAAACTGAAGCACCTCTGCAGGTTTCCATGATTTCTAAATGAATCCTCCCCTGTGATAATGAAGGCCTTAAAATCACTGTATTGGATACAATAATCAATTAAGAGAAAATCTGCTCCTTAAACTCTTTAAGTCCAATGTCATTTGAAAGGGGTTTATGGCTGGGGAAGAAGTAGGCCCCTGTTTCTGTGACTTTGCTATTAGTAAGTATAATGTTGACATGAATAGAATAATCACAAAAGGCTGGTTTTTTTAAATCAATCTTTTGAACACAACTTTATTTTATTTTATTTAATTTTTTTGTAATTGTAGATGGACATAATGCCTTTATTTTATTTGTTTATTTTTATTAGGTGCTGAGGATCTAAACCAGTGCCTCATGCATGCTAGGCAAGCACTCTACCACTGAGCTACAGCCCCAGCCCAGGTTAACTGTTTAATTTACATGGAGGTACAGGGGAGATCACAATTCTGTGTTTTCTGTATACTTGAAAAATGTCATAATAAGATATTGAGGGGAAAGTTGCCTCCTGTCAAGAGAGCACTGGTCTCTAGCAGGTCCTGCTGTCACACGCTGCAACCTGATAGATCTAAACTGATGGTAATCTAAACCATGTGCTAGGCGTTCTTTCAAAGAACCACATACTAATGAAGATAAAAAGACACAGAAATGTGAAATAATATTCCTAAGGCCGAAATGATAAGGGCAGAGCTGTGAAGAAAAAGAAGAAAGCATAAAGTTTGGCATCAGGGTTTTCGTTCATCATAGCTCATACTGCCTCTCACTCTCACAAAGCCTTTCCATTCCTAGTTGTCTGTTTCATTTATTTGGAATATTTAAAAGCTACCAGGTGCAGTGGTGCATACCTGTAACCCCAGCTACTTGGGAGGTTAAGGCAGGAAGATCACAAGTTCCAAATCAGCCTGGGCAACTTAAGGAGACCTTGTTTCAAAATAAAATATAAAAAGGGCTGGAGGGCTAGGGCTATAGCTCAGTGGTAGAGCGCCTGCCTAGCACATGTGAGGCACTGGCTTCAATCCTCAGCACCACACATAAATAAAAAATAAAGGTACGTCAACAACTAAAAAATATTTTTAGAAAATAATAAATAAATAAATAAAAGTATTGTGTCCATCCACAACTAAAAAAAAGGGGGGGGGGGGGTGCTGGGGTATGTAGCTCCGTGGTAAAGTGCCCCTGGGTTCAATCCCCAGTGTCCAAAAACAAAAACCATTTATAGGGGCTAGAGTTGTGGCTCAGTGGTAGAGCACTTGCCTAGCATGGGTTTGATTCTCAGCACCACATACAAATAAATAAAATAAAGGTCCATCAACAACTAAAAAATAAAAATTAAAAAAACATTTATAGCATATCTGAGTCACTTTAATTATTCTATTTTAATTTCATATTGTCTACTACATACTCTTTTCCAGATTCTAAGTCAAGTATAATTTTTAAAATGTATACTTTGTTTGGACAATAATGTATCAAATATGTCATTCTGAGGAAAAGAATGTGAATTTCCAGTCTGGTCTCATTATTCAATATCTTCTTGGGGAACTGAGCATTTATAATAAGTAAAAGGCTAATTTCTCCTCATCCTAAATTTAGAAAGGCCTAATAAACCAATTAACCAGAACACTTTTTCATCATTTCCCGGCCATCTTGTGCTCACGGCTAGCAAAATGTACTTAATCCCAGCTAACCCCTTCTAATGCTGAAGTAGTTATTACTGGGCAGACATGGAGCTCTGGAACCAATAAAGCACTGTTTAAAATCAAGATCACCAAGATGAATAGTGCTTAAAAGGTACCACTAAGGCTGGTGATGTAGCTCAGTGATACTGTGCTTGTCTAGCATGTGCAAGACCCTGGGCTCCATCCCCTGTATCACAAAACAAACAACAACTACAAAACAAAAACACTATTCTTTCCTTTGTCTGTAGCAGCAAATAAGAAACTAGAGTTGAACTTACTTAGAAACCAGAATTTCTTATTTTGAACATCTTTCTTTTATTATTTACTTATTTGTTTATTTAGGTGCCAGGGAGTGAACCCAGGGCCTTGTGCATGTGAAGCAAGCACTCTACCAACTGAGCTATATCTCCAGTCCCTATTAAATAGCTTTCTTTTAAAAAAGAGGAGTCTGTTGTCAGAATCTATTTCAATGTTTTACAGGCCAAAAGATTTTCAAACTACTAATAAAAAAATCTCTTGGGTCAGGCATGGTGACACATACCTATAACCCCAGTAATTTAGAAGGCTGAGGCAAGAGGATCTCAAGTTTGAGGCCAGCCTCATCAACTTAGTGAGGCCATAAGCAACTCACCAGACCTTGTCTCAAAATAAAAGATGAAAAGGGCTGAGAATGTAGCTCAGTGGTTAGGCACACCTGGGTCCAATCCCCAGTACCAAAAAAAAAAAAAAAAAAAAAAAAAAAGTTTTCCTTGGGCCTTGCCAGCTCCCCACGCCCCTGTTCTATTGCACAGAGCTCAGAGCAACTGGCTGAGGTTTTAAAACCCTTCTTTGGTTGAAGGCTGTTATTTAAAAATGAGTTATCAGCTTCTGAGTTATCTTTTGGCATGATCAGCATTATGACAAGGACCATGACTTATACCTTTTCTGTGTCCCTGGACAAAAACTTCAAAGTACAGCTGGATTTCAACTTACTTAATCATCACCGAATCTCCCCTTAATGTTCTTAACCTTTTTCTTTAACTATGGAATCCAGAACTAAATCCAACACTTTCCTAAAAGTTTAACCAGGGGAGCTTTACAAAGGAGGAGAAAAGCTACCATCTTTACCTTCTCTTAACTCTCCTTAAAAACAATGGAACTTTATTCCTGATCCACTTAGGATTTCCCACAGATAGTCACTATGCCATCAATCATTAGGGTCAACAATTTTATTCATTGTTTTCTACATTCAACTGCACAAAAAGAAAAAGATAGAAGTATTTGGTTTAAAATCTCACAGGGTGCAGTGGCACACACCTGTAACCCCAGCAAATTCAGGAGGCTGAGGTGCCGCAGTCTGGCTGGGCATGATTCAGGAGCCACTTGTCAAAAGAAACAAACTTTATTTTTAGAACCACTCAGGCCAAACAAAACAGCCTCTCAGGAAAAACCCTCAGAGCCTCAACTGCCACCACCAGCTTCCCACAAGCCTCTCCCTCCAACACCAGCTTCTCTCCACCTCCCACAATCCTCCTGCTCTTGAGGCCGATTGGCTGGGTCACATGGGCGGAGCCAAAAAAGTCCCCCAATGAGCAGCTCCATGGTCTGAAAGGGCAGGGAAACAGCCCAATGAGCATCACGGCAGAGGAGCCAATCAGCTAGATGTTGCTGGGCCGCTGTGAGCCAATCATCAGCCGGCAGCTGGAAGTTTGCTGGGGCCCCTTCGGCTGTGGCTCTCAACACTGAGGCAGGAGGATCGCAAGTTTGAGGGAAGCCTCAGCAACTTAGCAACACTTATTTCAAAATAAGGAAATAAAAAGGGCTGGGATGTTGTTCAGTAGTAAAGCATCCCTGGGCTCAATCTGCAGTACCAAAAAATGAGTTATTAAGAGCATGCCTATCAAATTTGACTTGCCAATTTTTTGGCATGATTAACCTGACTTCAGTAGTAGATTTGTTTAGAGAAAACATGGAGAAAAGTCCAAAAGGTGCTGCCCAGCAGGCCAGAAGAAAGACGTTCTTCCTGAGGTCCTCTGCCAACTCTATTTCCAAAGCCTTTCTTGCCCCTTGGCCCAGCCATAGGACTGCTTCACTGAGTTCCACTTCTGACCACTAGGTGGCACTAGAACTCTGAATTACTGAAGAAATAGAATAAAACAACTAGTCTAAACTTTAGGTGATTTGCTGTGAACCTTTAATCAACACCTTCTAAAATAATTCACTTATTTTTTTATTAGTAATCCAAAACATTTTGCCTTTTTTACCATTTATTCCTATGTGCTATGGGGAAGAGCAAGCTAAAAACATGCAGCCTGTTGTTCTTCAGTCGCGTGGTCTCCTAGTTGGTTGTAGATTTATTTAGCAGCTTCTCTTTTTGCCACAGCAGCCTCCAACAACACTGGAGGCACACTTGGGCTTTTTGTTAGAATCTTCTGCAAGCTTGAATGGATCTGTGATAATATCCTGTCAAAGGGCAAATCAAAATGAAAGAACAAGTTAGAGAGGTTTTGATGTACCCAACATTTATATTTCCATTTGGCACCATAAAGGCACACTTGAATCTTCTACTTTCAAGGTAAATTTCATTTAAATCTTTGGGGGGTTTTATCCCCTGCCCCCCCCCAACCTGGTTGCTGAGGCTTGGACACAGGACCTCCTTCATGCTAGGCAAGCATTCTACCACTGAGTTATAACTCAACGCTAGGTTGGTTGGTTTGTTTCTCTTTTAATGTTAGTTGGTTTGGGTTTTTTTGAGATAGAGTCTCACTAAATTGCTAAGGCTGGCCTTGAACTCACAGTCCTCCTGCCTCAGCCTCCCAAGTAGCTGGGATTATAGGTAGGTAATTCTAGGAAAAATATGACTGTGGAGAGACAGTGCAACATACTGACTAAACGTGGTGCTGCTGCTTCTAGAACCAGACGTGGGTTCAAATTCGCCACTTTCTAGCTGTGTGACCTTGGTGTAGTAAGTTTATCTTTCTGAGCCTCAGTTCTTCATCTGTAAGATGAGGATAATAAAGGTTATTATAAGGGGCAGGTGACTTCAGCACTCTGAGACCCCCTTTCTTCCCTCTGCATTTATGTAGTGTCTACTGTGTGTAAGGCCCTGTGCAACAGATACTTGTTAATTCTATGTGTGGAGTACCTACTGCCATGAGGACAGTACTAAGGTCAAGTTGTTGAATGTCTTAAATGGCCTTCTGAGGCTGGGCAGGGAATTAATGCCTGTAATTCCAGTGATTCAGAAGGATTCCAAGTTCAAGGCCAACCTTAGCAACTTAGTGAGGCCCTCAGCCACTTAGTAAGACCCTGTCTCAAAACAAAAAAATTGGGCTGGGGTTGTGGCTCGGTGGTAGAGCACTTGCCTAGCATGGGTGAGGCACTAGGTTTGATCCTTGGCACCACATAAAAATAAAAACAAATAAAATAAAGGTATTGTGTGTCCATCAACAACTTAAAATAAAAATAGAATAAAAATTTTAAAAAGGGCTGGGTTGTGGCTCAATGGTAGAACACTTGCTTAGCAATTGTGAGGCACTGGGTTAGATTCTCAGCACTGCATATAAATAAATAAAATAAAGGTCCATTGAAAACTAAAAAGAATTTTTTAAATAAATTAAAAAAATTTTAGTTGTAGTTGGACACAATATCTTTATTTTATTTATTTATTATTATGTGGTGCTGAGGATCGAACCCAAGGCCTCACACATGCTAGGCAAGTGCTCTACCACTGAGCCACAACACCAGCCCCGAAATAAAATAAAATTTAAAAAAATAAAAAAGGACTAGAGATGTAGCTCAGTAGTAAAGTGCCCCTGGTTCAATCCCCAGTACAAAAAAAAAAAAATCTTAGCTAGTTTACATAATAATGGTGTTGTTGGTACAAGACACAAAATGAAGAAATAAACTATAAATAAAATTTTCAGTCCCACAATAATTTATTCACAACTCTTAAACAAAAAGTTGAGAAAACCCCATTTGTTTTTCTGCTTTGTAACTTACTTGATAGCCCAACCTCATCTGGCATTGAAATACTTTGCTGTCTACACCAAATAAAAGTAAAATTCAAAATAAAAAATAAACAACAACAAAAAAAGGTTTTTATGAGGACTAAATGACATGGTATTTTTTTACTTTTTTTTTTTGTTTATTTATTTTCTGATAGTAGAGATTGAACCTGGGGTGCTCTATCACTGAGCTACATCCCCAGATCTTTTTTTTTTTTAATTTTGAGACAGAGTCTTGGGAAGATGCCCAGTCTGGCCTGGAACGTGTGATCCTCCTGCACTCCTCCTACCTCAGATTCCAAATCCCTAGGATTACAGGCGTGTACCACTGCATCCAGCTGATATAGTGTCTTGAACATTCTAATTGCTCCATGAAAATTAGCTCCCCTATGTCACTGCTATCATTACTCATGTTGTTACTGGAATGACTATAACCTGAGGCAATAGTTTATAGCACAAATTCAATTTGTATAATTACAGATGCTACATTTTAGTAACTTTTAATACCAAAATACACTTTATCAGTATTAAAAAAGAAGAAAAGAAAAGGTAAAAAGGTTCTTAAAAAGTCTCCCCTGAGTGAACCCACAGTAAGAGGCAGCACCATTCCTTCCTCCATTGCGGCAACGATGGGGGACAAGTCTACCAGATCCTGGTGCTGGGCAGACACTAGGGTTAATCATCAAAGTCTTCCATAAAAAGATAAGAACGCCCTCCTCCAAGAGCACAAGGTTACATTTCTAGGTCACACAGCTGTTTGATTTTTTAGATCTTCCTCCAGTGTCGATTATTCCCATTTGAAAAACTCGAAACCTGAAATACACCTGGCACAGAAATGACAAGTGCCACATGATGTCACTCTTATGTGGAATCTAAAAAAAAAAAAAAAAAAAAATGATCTTATAGAAGTTGAGAGTGACAGGGTGGTTACAGATGCCCAGGAGAATAGGAGAAACGGAGGGACAGCTATGGGGAAAGGCTGACTATGGATAGTATAGTGGAAGCCCAGGATATTCTGCCGAAATTGGGCATCTGACAAGCCATTTACATCCAGGTGTTTCAAGGACCTGGATAAAAAGCCTTTTTACAACCAGAATTTGTTCCAAATGCCCTTTGAGAATGGCATTTGGAAGGTCCTCTCTTCCCCCTCCTCAGCCCTCCTGTCTCCATGGGATGTTTACAATGCGGATGAGGCTATGCCAACTTGGGAGACTGAACATGACCAGGACAGGGTGAGACCTGTCACAAAGTCTAATAGGAAAAGGGGACAAATAAAAATACGAGAGAAAAGAAATGTAGGGCTGGTTAAGATAACCAGAAAGCAGATGCGGCATGTTTGCTTGGTGCCAGCATCTGCAGAGGAAAGGTAGATAACGTGGCAGTCTTCTAGAAAGATCTTAAGCCTAAACAACAGTTCCAACATTACTTATCTATGGAGGAAGATGAGTAGCTTCTGATCCGGCATTGCTACCATGGGTTGGAATCCCCCTACTCCCTGTGACTAGCGGGGCAGAACAAGGGAAAAACCATCACTGTACCAGATACAGGCACTGACTGTACACTAATCTGTGGTAACCCAGAATGTTTTCCAGGGTCCTAGGTAATTCTTCTAGATCTGGTGTAAAACCATCAGAGTAAAACAAGTATTGCTATACCAAGAAGAGAAGAAGCTCCATGTTTGGGGCAATCTCTCCAGACCCTGAGAGCATTCTTGGGACAGATACTGTATCAGGAAAGACATTACAGACCTCCATGGGGGAATTCTGACTCAGGGATCGGGGAGCAAAGGTGACACTGAGGGGGAAGCCAAGCAGGAGCCTGCTAGCCTTTCTGCCCTGAGGTAGGTACGACACACCAGGCAGTTCAAACTGTCAGGTAGACATGCTGAGACTAGAAAAGAGATAAAAGAATTAGGTTGAGAGTTTACAACCTGTCACAGTGCCTCCACTAGCCCTGTCCACTTGGCTAAAAGCCAGATAAAACTTAAGAGAATGGCTGTCAATTATAGGACATTAAACCAGGTGATACATCTGCCTAAGCTTCAGTGCCCAACATTCCCCCGGTAAAAGAAACAGATGCACCCTGCCTTGCTTCTTTGCACAAAAAGAGACAGAGAGTGGTTGTGTAAACAATAACAACAGTCAACCTTTTCTACCAGAAGTTGCAGGAACCAAACCAGTCAGGAGGCATTAATTTGGGTTTGATAAATGAACAGGTTCCAGGAAGAATATCATCACAGCTCTGGAGGAAAACAAATGTTTAATAGGGTGTTGTAAAGGTAAATCTGCACCTCCTGGCCCTAATCACAGGGAGTGGGGGAACTCCAACCCCTCTGCTTGAGGGCTACACGGCAAGCGAGAGTGCCATGACACATCATGTGTTTGGGCCCAATTTGGACAGCATGTACTGTGAAATGGGTGCCTTGGTCACTGTCAGTCTGGCTCAGGTACCCATACATCACACTTAACTGCTCAAGACCTTTGACAGTGGCAGTGTGATAAGCTCTCCTGCTAGGAAAGGTTTGCCTGAGACCAACAGACCATTTCCTCATTCGCTATTGTGCCAGCCACATTGTAAGGCCTCCATACACCACCCAGCTGTTGGTACAGACAACCAGCAGCCATGGCCCATGAGTGACCACCAGCCATACTGCCCTAATTCTGCCATTAGCTGCTCTGATTTTCTTCTGTCTTAAGCTACATGGTATCAGTGGTATAGCAGCCCAGACAATTGGGTTGCACCTGTTGGATTAATCTATATCCCGGACATTTTAAGATGTGAGATCTGAGGCCTTGTGAGATCATAGGCCTGCTGTGGCCAACTGGGGTGATGAGGCAGTTTCATAGATAATTAGACTTATTGGCATCCACAGCTCATGAACAGTGGGGGTCTGCCTGATAGCAGGTTGAGGCTAATAAAACAGGTCCCTACCCCTTTACACATGGGCTAATTTGCCCTGAGACTTAAGTTGACTTCAGGATATTGTACATTGCTAGAAATTACTATTCTCAAGAAGATTTAGTTTCTTTCTAGAGTTGAGACTAGAAACCTACAGGTAACTTTCATCCTCTTTCTTGCCCGAGAGCTCAACTCATGCCACTTGCTGTACAGATGTTATCTAACTGCATTGGCAAGCTTGGTACGGGAGACCTAGAGCCTGCCTGTGGGCTATCCCTACACAGACCTGTATATTCTTACCATACTGGGTAAAGGGAAGGTTTGCACTTTATCTGGTACCATGCCTAGAATCAAATCGGTCTTACATGACCAGACCACCCCTAGGAACACCAGGGATGACCCAGGGTCCTGGATCTCCTGGGGGTAGACAGCCCATTTCTTCATGCATAAATGAATACACAGTACAATCTTCACCAGTTAACAAGGTATCATTGATGCAATGGAATCAGATAGAATCAGTAGAGAATGAGGTCCCCAGCTACCTGCAGGGACAGGAGGAGGACTGTGCAGATAACCTTGAGGCAGAACCTGGAATGTCCACTGCCTCTCCCCTGACAAGTGAAGGTGAACTACTCTTGTGATTCCAGTGTCAAGGGAAGAGGGTATGTGTGTAAGGCTATAAGAGTTGGAGTAAGGGATGAAATGCATGGATTCAGCTTGACAGCAGCCGCCATGAGTCATAACCATCAAGATTGCCCCAGGGTAGCCCTAGTCAGTTTTTTCTACATAGTTTCTTAGCAAAGTACCACGGGACAATACCATTAGAGTGGTATGGTAGAGTTTTACAACAGAACCCTGGGATGTCCCTGACTATTTGCTGCTAGCTTAAGATAAAACAGGTACATTGTAGTTAGGATGAGGTCATTTTTTTTTTTTAATATTTATTTTTTAGTTCTCGGTGGACACTACATCTTTGTTTGTATGTGGTCCTGAGGATCGAACCCGGGCCGCACGCATGCCAGGGGAGCGCGCTACCGCTTGAGCCACATCCCCAGCCCCTGGATGAGGTCATTTTTGTCCTAACACATATATATGCTCCTCTTTCTAACCCAAATTTTGAGGATCCACCTCATATTGTTGCTGCTCAAGATCATACCTTCACTCAGTAATTTCCCCAATAAATGGCATTTTGTGCAATTCTGGATCTGTCTGTCTCTCTTTCTTTGGTCCCACAGAACCATGGGGCCCGTCCTTATATAGAGACTAGGTTGTTCCATAACAGGACTGTAAAAGACTATTTATGAGGTAACAAAACAGGGAGGAAAAACATACAAGAGATACTTGTACAATGCTGTACACTCAAAGTATTCAAAATTACTACAAAATACTAGCAACAAGAGCTGGGAATGGAGCTCAGTAGAGCACTTGCCTAGCATGCAGGAGGCCTTGGGTTCCATACACAGCACTGTAAAATAAATAAATAAATAAAAGCAACAGAAAAGAAAAATTCATAGAAAAAGATTGCAGAATTTCTGAGGCCAGAGGATAGAACACATGGGAGAACAACAAAAGAATTCTGCAAAAGATTCTGGTCAGAACTCAAATACTTAGAACACAGGTCTAAGCAACCAAGATTATTTCTGTATACAATCCATAATTATGCCTGCTGTTTCTTGGGTATGTACTCTGTGCCAGGCACTGGGAGAGGCATTTCACATGCTTATTTCATTCGTTCCTCATGACCTGAGGGAAGAAGTTATTACTTCCCTAATACACATAAAGTTTGAGGAGGTTAGGTCACTTACCAAGATCAGAGCTGAGTGGCAGAATAGCATTTATACTTAGGAGTCCAAGGCTTGTGTGCTTGACTGCCATGCTATGTTACCATCCTGCCCCAGCAACAACAGAATCTCATTTCCTTGGACTTCCAAGGTTCAGTGCCTTGAGGTGTACTACTACTGTTAGGACCTGGTGACTGCTGGGAGCAGCCCTGGCAGATAAAAGCAAGCTTGTAATCCATTACTAAGCCTATTCTAAACAAAACAATATTACAAATGAATGAAGGAACAGTAAAATAATTATAAGAGCATGAATGGGAGAAAAGTAAAAATATATGAGGGGGAAAGAAAGGGACACTTGTATCTGCCACAACTACTTATCTGCCTTCTTCATAGAGTAGTTGTGAGAGATTACTTGGCATAAGTTGTGATAAAATACTTTAGAAAATACTATATCAATAAAGCAGTTACTAGAATAATTCTAAATATAAAGCTAAAATATTTTAGAAAATAATCTTTTTTTGTGTGTGTGTATGTATGTATGTAATAGGGATTGAACCCAGGGGTGCTCTACAACTGAGCTACCTCCCCAGGCTCCCCTCCAACACTTTTTGAGACAGTCTCATTAAGTTTCCCTGTCTGGCCTTGAACTTGCAATCCTCCTGACTTAGCCTCTGGAGTCACAAAGATCACAGGCAAGTGCTGCCAAAGCTCAGCTTCATTTTAAAATACTACTGTCCTAAATACACATTTAAGAAATTAGGATACAGTGGAGAAATGATGATTATTCAATAAATAAGAAAAGTTGAACTAGCTAATATCAGGGAAAAAATTTGGGGGGACAGGATAAAGGATATATTATTGAGTGTGACTGCAGAGGGGCAACACAGTGGAAGCCCTTCTGAGTGCAGGGCCTGCCACTTGTCCAAGGGACCACAATTGGGAGTATATTTGATCCCATAGCCATTGGAGATGAGCTACTTCTCAGCCACCAAATTCATCCACATTAAACTGGGTAAAACCCTAATTCTTTGAGATGTATATTATCTGGGAAACTTGATCTTGGACCTACACAGAACCTCAATTACATATTCTTTGTTCTGCAACTTGGTATGAATGGACATGATGACTACTAGTCCATGTTAACCTTGCCTGTTGTCCCCTGGGACTTCACAAAGCACTTCACATACTCGAATGGGGCCTAGACTGGGGACAGTATGAGATCAGACATATGGACATACACTTGGAAAGCACTGTTTCCAAATTCCCTTAGAGTAACGCATGCAAGTAACAGGTTGCATATATATTATCATCCCACCTCAATATTTATGCTAAAATAAATTCCAAAAAGGATTTAAAAATTTAAATGTGAGCCAGGCCTGGTGGTGCACATCTCTAATCCCAGCTACTCAGGAGGCTGGGGCAGGAGGGTCACAAGTTTGAGGTCAGCCAGGGAAAGTTGGTGAGACCCTGTCTCAAAAATAAAGAAATAAAAAGACTGGGGATGTAGCTAAGAGGTAGAATGCTCCTGAGTTCAATTTCCAATACCACAAAAAAATGTTAAGTTAAATTGTGAAAACAATAAACTTCTGATCTTAGATTTGGCAATGGATTCTTAGATATGACACCAAAAGCACAAGCAACAAAAGAAAAAATAAATTGGAGTTCATCAAAATTAAAATACTATTTATTTATTTATTTGGTACTGAGTATTGAACTTAGGGGTGCTTTACCACAGAGCTACATCTCCAGTTCTTTTTTTTTTTTTTTTTGGTGGTGCTAGGGATCAAACCCAGGGCCTTGTGCATGCGAGGTAAGCACTCTACCAACTGAGCTATATCCCCAGCCCCTCCAATTCTTTTTATTTATTTATTTATTTATTTTGATACAAGGTCTTGCTAAGTTGCTGAGGCTGGCTTTGAACTTGTGATCCTCCTGCCTCAGACTCCCAAGCCACTAGAATTACAGGTATATGCCACTGGGCCCAGCTGTATGATGATTTTTTTAAATGGTTCTCTGGGGTAGGGAACTGAAAGTCACACCAACCTTTGACTCTAACACAAAACAGCCTCCAGATGCTGGCAACTTGTCTCCAATTGGTCTGAAGAGAAAATCTTGAGCAAATCGTGAATTCTTCAAGACAGCTGCTGTGTCTTCATCTACTTCAACAATTTCACCTTCCTAAAGAGCAGCATAAAACAAATATTTGTCTCATTAGAAGGAAAATGCCCAGAAGTTTTACTAATGATTGTATTTTAGGATTAAAAGACCACACCATACCTTCTGATGTAGCTTTCTCTCATGTTCAGACCCTGCTACTAATTTTATGTGTATTCATAGATGAAACTGAACAGTGTCATAATTAATCTTTCTTTGGTGACAGTGCTAAAGAAGGACATTTATTGTTTCAGTATCTCAGACAGATGTAGAAATCACTGCTGAATGTCACTGAATTTATTACTAAAGGATGGGCTTTGGATGAGTGGTTTTTAAATAGTATTTCCTTGAGTCCCAGAGTGCCTGGGAGGTATGGGTTATGTAAAGCAATGCCTGACACATGGTATTTTTTTTAAACAATTTACTTTTATATATATATATACATATATATATGTGTGTGTGTGTGTGTGTATGTGTGTGTGTGTATATATATATATATATATATATATATATATATATACACACACACACACACATATATACATACCTTTATTTTATTTATTTTTATGTGGTGCTGAGGATCAAATCCAGGGCCTTGCACGTGCTAGACAAGTGCTCTACCGCTAGCCACAACCTCAGCCCCTGATACATGGTATTTTAAAGGAGATTTTTTTTTAAATGCTTTTAAAATGTTGTTTTGAAAGCCCCTAGAGCAGATAATGACCTCAAAGTCCTTTCCACTTTGCTATGCGACTCCAAGGGACCTGACTGTACACCAAGTAGCACTTGAAGCAACACTGAGGGTTCCACTCCACCAGTGTGTAATAATCATGAAGATAAGATTTGGATCAAAAACTCAGAAGATGAAGACAGTTAAGTCCTTCTATCTTTGGAACAAATAATGGCTGCACCTTATTTACTGATATTTCAGTATATATGTACCAGGTATTTTGCTATATGATTATTAATCTCTACAGAAACTTAGCAAAATTGGTTATTATTATTCCTACTTTGTAGTAGAGCAAAATGCTCTATTATAATTTTGGTGACTTATTCTAGTTTACCCAAATAATAAATATCAGAGGCAGAATTTGAACCCAGGTATCTGATTCCAAAGTCAATACTTTTGCATCTTGAGAAAACAAAGTCTACCCTACAAAGAGTAAATTGTGTTATCATTAAACTCTAAAACTCTTGAGTTCCATGATGCAGTTAAAACTGCCAGGCACAGTGGTGCATTCCTGTAATCCTAGTGGCTCAGGAGACTGAGACAGGAGGATCGCAAGGTCAAAGCCAGCCTCAGCAATTCAGTGAGGTGCTAAGCAACTCAGTGAGGCCGTCTCTAAATAAAATTCAAAATAGGGCTGGGGATGTGGCTCAGTGGTCAAATGCCCCTGAGTTCAACCCCTAGTACCAAAAACAAACAAACAACAAAAAAAAAAACCTGAAATACTGTTATGTAGTGCTTCTTTTCTTTTCCATCTCACTTCTCTATATGAAAATTTTTTCTTTTCCTTTTTTTTTTTCTTTTTTGGCACTTGGGATTGAACCCAAGGGCATTTTATCACTAAGCTACATCCCCAGTAATTTTGATTTTTTTTAATTTGGACAGGGTCTCATCTTGACTCAGGTAATTTCATTCAGTGTACTTACACACATCTGGGTATATAGCCTACTACACATCTAGGCTATGTGCTGTGTAGGTGTATATACACATAATACATATACTCATTGCTCCCAGGGCCATGATGAATGAAACAATACAAGATTAAATCAAGCACAAAATAAAATAAAATAAAAAGAGTAAATAATGAGATATATGCACAAGTTACTGGCACATATTCTTTTACAATAAACTTTTTTTCTTTAAGAAGTATACTTTAAAATATCAATAAAAGGGCTAGGGATATGGCTCAGTGGTAAAGTGCTTTCCTAACATGCTAAAGGTCCTGGGTTCAATCTCTAGCACTGAAACAAAATTTTTTTTTCAATAAAAAGTAAAATATAGTAAATATGTGAACCAGTAATATCATCATCATTTATCATCATTATCAAATATTATGTTCTATACATAATTATATTTTCTATACTTTTACAGGACTGGCAGAAGAGTAGGTTTGTTTATATACACAACAGGAGAAACATATGAGTAATATGTTGTGCTATGACTTTATGATTGCTACATTGTCTCTAGGTGACAGGAATTTTTTACCCACCTGCCCTAGTTATAATCTTATGGGACCATTGTTATATTTACAGTCTGTTCTTGACTGAAACATTGTTACACAGCACATGACCACATGGGTATATGTACATATATATACATACAGATGTACAGCTATTTGTACAAACAGCTGAAGCAAACATATGACAAAATGTTCTCAGTTGCTGAAATAGGTAGTGGGTATATAGGTATTCACTGAATTTTTTAATTTTTTTTATTTTTCTGTATTTAAGAACATTTTTTATAACAAATATAGGGAAAGTACTTTTTGACTTCACTTACAAACAGCCAGGAGCTAAAGAGGTTGAAGTAGGAATATCCCAAGTTTGAAGCCAGCCTCAGCAACTTAGTGAGACTTTAAGTAACTCAGAAAGACCTGTCTCTAAATAAAATATTTATAAAGGACTGGGAATGTGGCTTAGTGGTTAAGCACCCCTGGATTTAATCCCTAGTACAAAAAAAAACCAAAGCTATAAAAGTAAGACATAATGTAAGGCCAAGAAAACGTGCCTGAAGCAAAAGTAAGAGTAGAAAGACTGCCAGAGGCCGTGGACATCTTCCTTCCTCCTGCAGTGCTAGGGTTTGACACAAGATCTCTCACATGCTAGACAAGAAGCACTCTACCACTGACCTACCTGCCCCAGTACCATGTGTGTTTTTATTTACCTTAAATGTGAAATTTGCATCAAATATTAATTGTTTTTCATGTCCTGTGATTCCTCCATTGTAAACAGTTTGGCATCTTTCAACTGGTCCAGTGTTAGGGAGTTTGAAGAGGCGAAATGTGGCCGAAACAAAACGACAATCACCTAGAAAGAGATACCCATGGTTCACCTCCAGCACTCCAACAGCATTATTTTGCTCAGCACATGAGGATAGAACATTTCATAAAGATGATATTCTTCTTTGCATTCTGCCAACTACCTTTCTGAGCGCTTCATTCTACTTATTGAATGACTTCAAAATGATTTATTAAATATCAAATTTTTGGAGGGGGTGGACATTATTCAGGAGACATGATAGACGTTTCCAGATGACAAAGTCTCCCCTGGGAGAATCACTCAGTAGACAGTAATAACCAAATTTAAACCATTCAGGCTGCAATTATAATAGTCCCTTCTGTTTTTCCTTACCAATGATTCTTTCAAGTTCCTTGTTTTGAATTGTAATGAGATTGGCAGTGACTAAACGTGGAGGGCAGAATCCAATCTTTTGGGCAAGGAAGAAAAGATCCTTCCAGTACAAAGCACCACCTAGGCACTCACCTTAAAAAAATACATATTAATCAATTCATAAAGCAGTAATGAAGAAACTAATACTCATACAATTACTTATGACATAATATTAGTTAAAACCTAAGGCCTAGAAACAGAAACTAAGATAAACATCCTCCAAGGCTTAGAAACTCCTGATTAAAACTGCATATTGTTGTCAGGCGCAGTGGCGCACACCTGCAATCCCAGTGACTCAAGTGGCTGAGGTAGAGTATCACAAGTTCAAGGTCAACTTCAGCAACTTATAGTGAGACCCTGTCTCAAGTCTGGAGACACGGCTCAGTGGTAGAACCCACACTGCCTGGTACGCTCCCCAGAACCACAAAAACAAAACAAAAAAATAAAAACAACTTTTAATTTCATAGACTAACCACAAAAATGCATTAATATTTTCAACTTCCAGAGACTCCATTAAAGTGACAATAAAGGCGTAAGCAATATAACAGTGATGAGAACATTAAGGGGACTTAGGGGGCATGGACTCTGTCTGGTTGCCTTCATTTCCACACTGTATTTTTCCAAGTATTTTTCACATTCTTTACCCCATTTAATCTTCATAACAGCCAGATTGTATCATTATTTACATTTTACAGTTTGGAAAGCAACAACTTTAGAGATTAATTAATGCCCAAGATCACATCCCTTTTGAGTGGCAAAGGAAAAGAACGGAACCTCAGCCTCCTGGCCTTACTCCATCTGATCTCACATCAGATACCCTCCTTCTGGAAGGAGGGATCTCTGTACATAATTGTCTACCTTAAAACAAAACAACCAAGAACACCTACCCCATAAAACTTTGTGTGTCTTGATTTCTTCTGGCAATTCAAGGCTAGCATAGACGTCACTGAAATATAGCTCCCCACCGTGCTGAAACACAGCAGTGTTAGTCCAAGCAAGGTTAAAGATTAAATTGATCCCAGATAACGAGAAAATGGATGAGGGCACAAGATCAATTTCAAAAACCCACGCAAGTGTTTGAGCTGACCACGCTGACCCTTTGTGAACAAATAACAGCTGCTTCCCTCACTGCAATCAATAACCAAAATCTTTTTTTTCAGCGCCCTATCCAACAGGCAATAAAATCACTTTGAACAAGTGTCTTCCTTCCTTTAAGTGCCTTTCTCTTAAAGATGCTTGGATTGCCTCGATTTTTAACCAATCCGAACAAATACAGGCCCAGGTGGTTGTAAAACTAACAGAAGATTTAACAGTATTCATAGATTCTCAGCCATTAACAATTATATAACTTTTTGTAATGTTATTATTATACATTATATTTTTAAAATATTAGGCTGGGGGTGTAGCTCAGTAATAAGAGTGCTTGCCAGTCATGCATAACACCCTGGGGTCAATTTCCAGTGCAAAAAAAAAAAAAAAAAAGTTGTTCTTCTAATCCAAGACAAATGAGTGATCCAGAACTTATGAATTTATTTAGCTGATTTCAAAAGCATAGAGGTACCAAGAGCAGTGGTGCACACCTGTAATCCCAGCAGCTTCGGAGGCTAACGCAGGAGGATAGTGAGTTCAAAGCCAGCCTCAGCAAAAGCAAGGCACTAAACAACTCAGTGAGACCCTGTCTCTAAATAAAATAAAAAAATAGGGCTGGGGATGTGGCTTAGTGTTCAAGTGCTCCTGAGTTCAATTCCCACTATCCAAAAAAAAAAAAAAAGTATAGAGGTCTATATTCTATAAAGTTTACCTTTTACTAAGCACATGTTGGTGAAGATAGCTGGTATATAAAATGGCACACTAACAAAGACATTGTGAGATCATTTCTACCTATTTTCATTTGAGCTGTATTATAGTATTATATTTTAATTTCTCTAAACTAAAACTAAAAATCTCAGTTTTTTAAAAGGCCTGGGACGTAACCCAAGGCCACATGCATGCCGAGCAAGTGCTCTACACTGACCTAAATCCCAGCACCCCCCAAATCTCAGAAGTTTGTGTCTTTTAGCACAAAGACCCATCTCATGACACACAGGAAGGCTGTGCAGTTCCTCCAAGTTTTCTTTTTAGAAAGACATTAATGTAAAAGTTCTATCTTCTCTAACTTCCCAAAGATCTGAAATCCTGGGAGATAAGAAATCAATAGCTCTGAGAAACACTGCACATTCTAGCAGACAGAATATTCATAGCAACCTTTCAGTAAGGCCAAAGGTTCCTACAGCTCTGCACACAATATGCTAGGATCACATCCAGCAGCAAGCACAAAAAGTCAATAAGGCAAAGATTTTAATGTGTTCAATGACAATCATGACACACAGACTTGATATCTTATGCAAACTGAGAGGGAAAAGAAGCTGCATCTAGGGGGTTTTGCCACTCTACATTTTTGCCACCCTTTTTAAATGTGGCGGATATGTTTAAAGAGATTGAGCCCTCAGTTTGAGGAGGAAAGAACAGGACTGATTCCATCAGCACTCAATGATGTTTGAAGATCATTTATGTCACCCCTCCCCTCACCTTCAGGACTCGATACACTTCCTGCAGCACTTGTTCTTTATCAGGCACAAGGTTAATAACACAATTGGATCTGAAAAAAGAAAAGATGTTAAAAGGACTCAAATCTTTTATGTTCCTAAAGGTGGTTCCCATTTTGTCAAAACTACACCATTCTTCTGAATGCCCCCCTCCTCTCTTTCCTGCACTCAACTTTTTTTGCAAGGTAAGGGAGATAGGGAGTGTTTAAAATTCCAACTGTTATCAAGTAAGAATGTACAGAAAAAAATAGGAGGCACTGCTGGGTGAGTGGCACACGCGTATAATCCCAGCAATTTGGGAGACTGAAGCAGGAGGACTGCAAATTCAAGGCCAGCCTCAGCAACGTAAAAGACCCTGTCTCAAAATAAAAAATATAAAAGGGCTGGGGATGTGGCTCAGTGGTTAAGTGCCCCTGGGTTCAATCCCTGGTATGTATAAATACATAAATATGGCTGGGGATGTGGTTCAGTGGTAGAATGTGCCTCTGTTCAATCCCTAGTACACACACACACCAAAAAAAAAAAAAAAAAAGAGAGAGAGAGAGGGAAAAAAAGGAGGCAGGGTTCTTATTTGTTTTGCCCTAATGCTAAACAAGCAACAAGATGAAACCTGGGACCAACATTTGTTAAGCCACAAGTGAATAAACTAAGTTCCTTGAAGGCAGTTCTCCTAATGCTGTCACTTAGGTATGATTTGACAACAACTCAGAGGAAAACAAGAAAACACAGAACCCTATAATTTGCCATCAAAATACTACGGTCATGAGCCATATAACATTTTGGGGGATGGATAGACTACATACATTTAATATGATGGTGGTCTCATAAGGTTATAATTGAACTGAAAATTCCTATTGCCTAGTGACATTGTAGCATAGTAACATAGCACAACACACTACTGGTGTGTTTGTGGTGATGCTAGTATCAAACCTACTGTACTCATATAAAAATAGAGCACAAACAATTGTATATAGTGCGTGGTACGTGATAATAATAATGAACAACAGTGTTATTGGTTTATGTATTTACTGTACTATTGATCATTAGCATATACTCTTACTTAACAAAGAAGACGTTTACTATTAAATGGTATGCCACATTACCCCAGCAGCAGCCTCATACTTCTCCTCTGTACCCTATCTCCATCACATCATTTTTTCATATGCTGGATTTCATCTCATGTTGCTTTGTTCATCTTGGCCCCAAGGGCAATAGGCTATTCACACAATGAGGAAATTGCCTACAGTGCATTTTTCAGAATGTGTTCTGTCATTAAGAAGCCCATGACTCTACTAAAGATAGTAGGTCAGTGTGTGTTGTATGAGCAGATTTGGTCCAGCTGATCTTTTAGGCTCACTGGATTATGGTTTGGTTTAAAGTAAATTATCTTGAGCTAGTGCGTTCTGCTGCCAATGGACCATGAGCAACTCAGATTAGTTCCTTTCCTTAATGAGGTTATGCTAAGTTTAGTTTTGTGCCCTAAGTGAGAGTCAGTTCAGCAAAAAGTGGTGGCATTTGTGTGTTCTACAGGAAATAGGCTTTACTCATAACTGTAAGGATATAGGCCTACATAACAATATCGTAACTCTCATTCTGAATTCCAGCTTCTGCCAACTTCTCAATGTAGCCATGAATAAAAGTCACATTGGATGTCTGGAAGCCATATTTTTCCATGTGATAGTCAAGGTATTTTTTAGCCACTTCTACCTAAAGAAAGAAAAATATAGATTTCATAATCAACATTTAAAAAAATAGCACATTTTCTCTAAAATTTTACTATTACTAGTGAAATACACTTTCCCAAGAAGTATATTTCTTTCTTCTTTTTTTTTTTGTGGGAGGGGCTTTATTTTTTAAATTTGTTCTTCTTAGGTGTACATGACAGTAGAGTGTATTTTGACATTATATATACATGGAGTATAATATTCTAATTAGGATCCCATTCTTGTGGTTGAACACGAAGTGGAGTTACATTGGTCTTTTATTCATACATGGGCATAGGAAAGTTCTGTCCTATTCTTACTACTGTCTTTCCTATTCCCATACCCCCTCCCTTCTCTTCATTCCCCTTTGTCTAATCCAATTAATTTCTATTCTTCCTCCCCAGTATATTTCTTGTATTCTTAGATAAGTATGCAAGATTCCTATGGACCTTGAAGGATATGCTACATACTAGCACATAAACTCTCAGTTACATGGGTCTTGCTTGAATAACCCCTTCATTCAATGATAATCTTTCAAGTCAGTTTGCAGAAGGAAAGAAAAGATGAAAAACTTCATTGGGTCATCATGATATTTATATATCAGATCAAATCTCTGGCTTTGTAAATTCTCTCAGAAGAGCCGCTAATGGTCAAAGTCCTCAGCCTCCAGGACAAGAGGCACTAAAGGCACAATTGATCATTGCTAAATAGCCACCTTTTAAAATTATCCCTAGAGTTACAAAGGAACCAACTTCATCCCTCCAAGAATGCACCGGAAAATTCTTTCCTCCTTGTCCTCCAAATCTTTGCCTTACCTGGCCTTCAGTCATGTCTATGCCTGTGACGTGGCCCTTCTCACCAACCAGTTGGCTAAGTGCATAGCAATCTCTGCCACTTCCACTACCCAAATCCAAAATCCAGCAGTTTTCCAGACACTCAGGGATGACCAGACCACAGCCATAATACCTGAGAAATGGAAACTACAGGTTTTTTTCCCATAGACTACTAGAAGATATGAAAACACTAAATCTTACACCTTCCTCTTTTTCTTCTTTTCTCTTATCTCTCATTCATATTTCTATTTAGTTGTTTAGTCTCCCCCTCTAAATTGGAAGCTACAAGAAGGCTGGGACCACATCTGCTTTCCCACAGTATTTTTGGGCACTGTGCTAGGTATTACAATTTAAATAAACCATCTAAAATATTTGCTGAATAAACACATTTGGAGCCAGGTGCTGTGGTGCACACCGGTAATCCCAGCTACTCAGGAGGCTGAGGCAGGAGAATCCCAAGTTCAAGGACAGCCTCAGCAACTTAGCAAGATAATGTCCCAAAACTAAAATTTAAAAAAAGGGTAGAGCTCAGTAGTACAGCACTTGCCTAATATATATGCCAGGTCCTGGGTTCAATCCCCAGCACCACAAAAGAATAATATTTGGACATTAGGTGCTTAGCATCTAATTCAGGCCCAGGACTGAGCTAATTTTTGAGAAAAAAATTCTGTCCCCCAGGTGTATTTACTCTAATTTGGAAGGTGAAACATAAGCACAGAAAACATTTTTCATTAATTGACAAAATAAGTGTCACAGGAGTGAGTGCCATAGCAGTTTGGGAAGAAGGTGCTCAAGGATTAGAGGCTTCCTAAAGTGGGTAGGACATTAGTGAGGTGCTGGAGGGCTAGAGCTGGGAAGATGGAAAGAAAAAGGAAGGCTCTCCACATTGATAACTGCTCTCTGGCCAGGCAGTGCTGATGGCGGTGAGAAAGGAACGGTCAGAGGGAGCCAAAGCCAGTTAGGAAGGGAGGGCCATACTATGGACAGTCTTGAAGGTCAGGTTCCAGGAATATGACTGTCCTGTAATGGGAAGGGAGGGAGGGGAGTCTTTGGAGGTTCTTAAGCAGAGCAGTTAAGATGATCAGTGCTGAACTTTGGGAGGCTTACAATAGACAAGACAAGCAGGGTGACCTGGTGGAAATGGCTTAATTCCTTAATGCCTGGCATCACTATCTTTTGGGAAAGCTACAGTCTGGAGGCTTCATGTGTCAGGGAATTCTACCTTAAGGTAACTTCTTCGTGCACATTCTGCAGGGCTTCCCTGATGTGCTTGGGTACAGGCCTGGCCACGGTGACGCAGGCATTAGTCCGGAGGTCCTTCGACGTCTTCAGCACCTGCCCGTAGTAGTTCTAACCCAGGGTGGAGATGGGTGAGGCGGGGAAAGGGTGTCTGCAGGAGAGGGCTCCACCAACAACCCCTACCCTCCCTCCCAGGCCTGGCTGGCCTCTGCCCCCTGGCAAAGCTCTAAGCCTGGGCTTTGCGCTCCTAGGGGGCAGGAGTAGGCCTCGCGGGCTTCCAAAGGCCAGGGCTCTTGCCTAGCGGAGTCCCTGCGGGCCCTTCCTGGCCCTACCGCTCCCACCTGCACGTCCTTCCAGATGTCGACCTTCTGGCTCTCAGCGTCGCGGGGGGCGGCCACTGCCAAGGGAGGAAAGGGAGCTGGAAGAGTGAAGGTGGGGGGCGGGCTCGGGCGGGGGCGACGGGACGGAGGGCTGGCTGAGGGGCCGGCGCCGCGCCTCGCGGGGGGCGGAGGTCTTGCAGGGGACAGCGGGCGGCTCCCGCGTGGCAGTGGCGGGGCCGGGGCAGGAGAAGGGGCTGCGACCTGGCCTGAGGGCGAGGGGCGCGCACTCACTGTCTCACGGGCTCCAGGGCCGGGACCTGCGCTCGCCAGCTCGGCCCCGGCACGAGGCCCCGCCCTGGCGCCGCCAGCGGGATCCCGACCCAACCCCGGACGCCGGCGGGAACCGGGCGGGAAAGCACCCCACCGCCCCCTGCCCTGCGCCGCTGTCCTCGCGTCGCCTCCCAGGCCTGCTGGAGCCAGTCCCCGAGGTTGCCTGTGCTGTATGCTCCGCTGTGATTTTTCATTTACATGAGCACATATGCTGCCTTCATCGAATACCCACAGAGACAGAGAACGATTCCATCTCCTTTGGGAATGAAATGGGCTTTCCACAATCCGTTTTTTAAGTCAGGTTTATTGAGATAAAATTTACACTCAACCAAATTCACCTTTCTTCAGCGTACAGTTCTATGAATTCTGACAAACCTGTACATCACTGTCACCAAGGTTAAAAGTCCTCATACCAGTTTCTCTGTGCCCCTTTGTAATAAATTCCCTCCTCTCACCCTCAGCTCCTAAGCCACCACAGATCTGTTCCCCTCCCTATAGGACATTTTCCAGATGTCCTGTAGATGGAATCACACAGTATGTAGCCATTCTTAATTTATTCTGAGCTGTATTTAGGAAAGCAATTTTGGTTAAGTTCATTTTCACCTATAGTAATTTTTGGTCGGTTCACATGTGTTTTCCGGGTATTGCCGACCATTATATTTATATATCTCATTTCCTTTTGTGGTTGCAACAAGCATTTCCATCATCAGGACGGTGTGGAGGCAGGGAGGTCCAAGTGAAAGGGTACCTTTGTAAAAAAGTAGACTCTTGCTAAATTACATTCACTTTTTAGTCTCATTTGCCAGTACATAAAAGGTTTGTTAAAATTCAGCTAGTAAATTTTCATTTTTGCTGGAGCTGGGGATTGAACTCAGGACCTTGCACAAGCTAGGCAAATGCTACACCTCCAGCCCTTTACAACTACTAAATTCATAAAAGGAACATCTATATAGGTATCACTTTCTAGAAATTATGTAATGGTGGAAACAGTGCTCAATAATTAGTTTTCAAAATATTCTCTCCATAGAATGAGTTCCTTTAGAAAAGCAGTTACTTTCTCACTCCTTGTTAAAAATAGAAGCTTTTAGTGGGCTGTGGTGGCACACACCTATAATCCCAGCAGCTGGGGAGGCTGAGGCCGGAGAATTGCAAGTTCAAAGCCAGCCTTAGCAACCAGTGAGGCCCTAAGCAATTTAGGGAGATCTTATCTCAAAATAAAATATGTTTAAAAACGACTGGGGATGTTCTGTGGTTAAGTGCCCTGGGTTCAATCCCTGTTACAAAAAAAAAAAAAAAAAAAAAGAAGCAGCAGCTTTTTCTTATAGGAAAAGATTAATTAACAGGAAGGAGGTTAAAGAGAGGGCTCTATCATTTTCAGTTGGGCTTGCTTTATTATATTATCTTCAGTCTGTGGTTTAGTCTTTCTTCATTTTATAAGAACCATTTGATAATATTTAACCACACACAGATAATGCAGTTAAGCAAACTACCACAAACTTAAAATGAGTTATTCCCACTTTTCCCTCAGGGTATCTGGTGTGTTGAGCTGATTTTGGACCAGATTGAGACTGTCAGCCATTCTGATTGGTCAGTACCTCATCAACAGGTTTGTTTTTGTTTTTCTTCTATTTTTTGTAATGCTGGAGATCAAATTCAGGGTCTTACACATACTAGGCAAGTGCTCTACCACTGAGTTACATCCACAACCCTTGTTTCATTCTTTCTTTCTTTATTTATTTATTTTGGGGAGTGGGTACTGAGGATTGAACTCAGGGACACTCAACCACTGAGCCACATCCCCAGCCCTATTTTGTATTTTATTTAGAGACAGGGTCTCACTGAGTTGCTTAGTGCCTCCCTGTTGCTGAGGCTAGTTTTGAACCTGTGATCCTCCTGTCTCAGCCTCCCAAGCCACATTCTTTATTTTTTTTTTAATACCCCTAATAAATGGCAGATATGCTAATTATCTGTATAGTACCTAAACTAAATTATTTGTATACTACATAAACTAAATCTCATATTAAGCCCTATGTAAATATTACCACAGTTAATTTTTTTAAAAATATTTTTTAGTTATAGATGGACACAATATCTTTATTTTGTTTATTTATTTTTATATGGTGCTGAGGATCGAACCCAGTGCCTCCTATGTGTGAGGCAGGCGTTCTGCCGATGAGCCACAGTCCCAGCCCCAAAAGCTAATTTTTTATCCTTTATTTTTGGTACTGAGTATTCAACCGAGGGATGCTTTACGACTGAGCTACATCCCCAGTACTTTTTTTTTTTTTTAATTTGAGACAGAGTCACTAAATTGTTGAGGCTGGCCTTGAACTTGGAATCCTCCTGCTTCAGCCTCCTGAGTCCCTGGAATTATAGCTCTGTGCTGCCACACCTGGCACAAAAACTAATTTAAAAAACGATAATTGCCAGGTGAGGTGGTACATGCCTGTAATCCCAGAGGCTAGGGAGGCTAAGGTAGGAGAAGTGCGAGTTCAAAGCCAGCCTCAGCGACTCAGCAAGGCGCTAGGCAACTCAGGGAGATCCTGTCTCTAAATAAAATACAAAATAGGACCGGGGATGAGGCTCAGTGGTTGAGTGCCCATGAGTTTAATACTGGGTACCAATAAATAAATAAATAATAAACAGGGAGGCTGAGGTGGGAAGATTATAATGTGTGGCCAGACTCTAAGCAACTTAGGGAGATGCTCAGCAAGTTAGCAAAACCCTGTCTCAAAATAAAAAATAAAAAGGACTGGGGATGTAACTCAGTGGTAAAGCACTCCTATGTTCAATCCCCAGTACCAAAATATATATATGTATGGGTGTGTATATATATATGTGTGTGTGTGTGTGTGTGTGTGTGTATATATTTACGTATGTATACACACACATATGTATATATATATTTTTTCATCTTTTCTTCTCTTACCTCCAAGGATGGCCTTGTGCACCTTAGAAACTACTGGTCTGAAAATTCCAAGAATGGCCCAGAAAGGCAGATTTTTGTTTTGGTACATAGACTCATCTTTCAAGAAGTAGAGCTTTCCAAAATGGCCAGCATCCCTGAGTAAAGGATTTCTCAAACACTGGAAGCATTAAGCAGAAGCTGGATGAGCAGCAGAATGTTTGCCCCTACAAATTGCAGCAGCAAGGACAGATAGATTAGAGTCAGTTACTTCTAACATCCTTTCCTTTTGAACAAGTTTTTTATTATGTTAAAGACAAGACATGACAGATAACATGCTTGTTTCTACTTATAAGAAAAGTAACAAGTAACAGAAGCTAGGCTAGTGGTCAAAAGACCTTCATCAAGCTAATGACCTTGGATAAGTCATTTCGTCTCCCTGGGGGTGTTTTTCATTTGCAAAACATTACCAGAATGTAACAGTTTTATAGTCCCTTACATCTCTAATTTTCTGAGGTTCTGTGATTCTTTCTTCTTCACCAAATATTATGTTTGTTCTTAGGTTTTAAAACATGCTCTTTTTTGGGCTGGGGCTATAGCTCAGTGGTAGAGTGCTTGCCTAGCAGGTGCGAGGCCCTGGGTTTGATCCTCAGCACCACATAAAAATAAATACATAAAATAAAGGTATTGTGTCCAACTACAACTAAAAAATAAATATAAAAATAAAATAAAATAAAGGTATAGTGTCCATCTACAACTAAAAAAGATGCTCTTTTAGAATTTTTTTTCATTTAGTTTCATTTGAGATAGTTGAATTTTAAGTGCCTTTTCAGTATACATTACACTGATAAAGATTTTATTATTTCTTATTAGTGTAATGTGTTTGGTAACTGTTATATCAACTTTGTACTTCTGGAATTGCTTGAATAATTCTTCAAAATTTCTTTATTCAATTATTTTAAAGATTTTAAAAGGATTTTACACCAATATAAATAAATAAAAATCTCCTAAATTTTCTTACTTTATCTGCTTTTTATTTCTTTAACTAAAAATCAAAATCATGGCGTGGGGTTGTGGCTTAGTGGTAGAGCACTTGCCTAGCATGTGTGAGGTACTAGGTTCGATTCTCAGAACTGCATACAAATAAATGAATAAAGTAAAGGTTCATCAACATCTAAAAAAAAAATTTTTTAAGTAAAAATCATATTTACTTCAGCATGTAAATTGGTATCTTAACTGTTATTTTTATTTATTTATTTATTTTTAGGGAGGGAGGGAGGGAGAGAGAGAGAGAATTTTTAATATTTATTTTTTAGTTTTCGGCGGACACAACATCTTTGTATGTGGTGCTGAGGATTGAACCCGGGCCGCACGCATGCCAGGCGAGCGCGCTACCGCTTGAGCCACATCCCCAGCCCCTTAACTGTTATTTTTACTATTTTGGGAGTATATGGAAAGGATTTATTCTTTAATAGCTTGGAAAAGCCACAAGAAAGCACTATCATAAGCAAATGACTTGTTATTATTCTTTGGCAGTTTATCGATTATGGTATTTCTCATAACCAATTGGGAAATATTCTATTTTTTAAATATCATTTTTGTAATATATTTTATAAAGAGTCAGACATTTTGAAATTAATCAAATTTTAGCATCAAGCTGAGATAAATTTTTTCAAATCTAATTTATTTTAAATATATCCTATTCAACTATAAATTTACCAATTTGTACTTTTATGGTTGAGCTGACACTTTAACAATTTGATCCATAACAACTTCTTAATAATTGTTTTATAATTTTTTCTAAATCTTTGTAATTTGTCTTAGTTTTATTATTTCCATTTTTATTTCTTTTGTTTTCTTTCCAAATTCTAACTGTATACTCATTGGGAAAAAAATTATTTCCACTGTTATCCCCCTAAGATCTGCCAGGCTGATCTCAAACTGTGATCCTCCTGCCTCAATCTTAGACGGGAATACACCACCGCTCCTAGACCTAATACAAAGATTTAAAGCATAATTTTTTTCTTCTAGTATTGCTTAATGTCATCATGTAAATTTTCTTCCATGAAATTTGAATTTTCATTACTTAAAAAATATCTTTGGGGCTGGGGATGTGGCTCAAGCGGTAGCGTGCTTGCCTGGTATGCGTGCGGCCCGGGTTCGATCCTCAGCACCACATACAAACAAGGATGTTGTGTCCGCTGAGAACTAAAAAAGTATAAATATTAAAATTCTCTCTCTCTCTTTAAAAAAAAATAAATTATATATATATATATATTGATATTTTTATATATATATATATATATATATATCTTTGGGCTGGGTTTGTAGCTCAGTGGTAGAGCACTTACTTAGCATATGTGAGGCATTGGGTTTGATTCTCAGCCCCGCATATAAATAAGCAAAATAAAGGTCCATTGACAACAACAAAAACAATTATCTTCCAGCATATCCACTATGACTTATGTTACCAATGAAGTATTTTTTGTATCCATGTTTTTGATCACTAGTGAATTCTATCTATGTTATTTATTTCTATTAAAAAATTATGTAACATTTTCTATTGCTCTCACATTTCTGGTTATTTGTTTATTTTCTTTCATATATTTTGGCCTTACGTTTTTTAAAGTGACTGATTTCACTACTACTAGATTTTCATTATATACCTTTACTATTTTTTTAATATTTTATTTTTTAGTTATAGGTGGACATGTATTTATTTAGTTATTTTTATGTGGTGCTGAGGATCGAACCCAGTGCCTCACACACGGTAGGCCAGTGCTCTACCTCTGAGCTACAATCCCAGCCCAAATACCTTTACTATTACAATATTTACTATGAAATTTATCTTATTGGATACAATATAAGCAATCACTGTTTCTTTTCTTTTCCTTACTGGGAATTGAACCCAGGGATGCTTTACCACTGAGCCACATTCCCAGCTCTTTTTATTTTTTCATTTTATTTTATTTTTTTTTTTTAGTATTTTATTTTTCAGTTTTTGGTGGACACAACATCTTTACTTTTATGTGGTGCTGAGGATCGAACCCAGCGCCCCGCGCATGCCAGGCGAGCGCGTTACCGTTTGAGCCACATCCCCAGCTTTTTTTTTTTTTAGTATTTTATTATCTTTTTATTTTTTATTTTGAGACAGGGTCTCACTAAATCACTTAGGGCTTCACTGAATTGCTGAGTTGCCTCAAACTTGCAATCCTTCTGCCTTAGACTCCTGAATCACTGGAATTACAGGCATGTATCACCATGTCCAGCTAATCACTGCTTCTTTAACATTTGTTCTAACACAAAGCAAACATAGATCATACCTCCATTTTAATGTTTTTTTTTGTCTTAAGTATTTTACCACTTCTTGTAATAGTTGGACTTAGTTTTTTTTTTTTTTCTTTTTTAAAGGTAAGTAGAGCCTGTTTACATTTAAAAATAATTGTTAGTAAAAGTTTATAAAATTAATGCTTAAGTAATTGACTTTTCAGATTCTTCACAAGTTAAGTGTATACATACATATGTGTATAAAGAGAGACATATGTAATTTGATCTGTTAACTTGGTATTATACAATATGAATTAAATTGGATTGATTTTGCTTTTTTTTTTTTCTATCAGGGAAGACACTTTCTCTTGTCAGCTTTCTCTCAATTCCTTAGAATAGGATAGTCCCAAATTAACTTCAAACAAAGTATTCCTATAGATAATGGGAATGTCAATTAACAAGAAGAATCTAATTGAACATAGGTAAATACCTACAAATATTAAGGTTTTCATCATGATACAATCCTGTGCCACAATCATTCATAGTAATTCATCTCCCTTCACATTTGGCAATGACGTCCTACAAGTGAACTTGCTGATAATTAGCAAAATTACAAAATGAACCAAGGTCATTTAATCAAGAATCACAACAACAAAGGAACCCACGGAATGCAGGTCAAGGCAAGAGGCTACAGCTGGCCAGATATGATTACCATTTACCTAATTTTCATTTAGGAATTTGCTACAACAAATAAGATAAGTATCTTCTCTGAGTTAATAGAAAAGAAAATAACAAGTCAACAGGTATTACCTATTATTATTCATTACCTATTAATATTCATGAAATAAAAATGTATCCTGAATGATCTAAAAGAAAAAAATATTAATTATTTTCAAGGTTCACAGTAGAAGTTTTATGCTGTCAACTTCTTTTCAGGAGAAACCATACATCAACAAATTTTTTTCAAATGCAATGTTGAGATGAAATGGAAAATCAAACCCACAACCCAAAAGTTGTATAAGACAATCCTCCTTAGCATCAGGCAAAGAAGTGTTGTTCCCCTCTTATATACCATTCTATTTTAACAGGTGATTCAACTGGTCCTGTAGATCTGATGACTGTTCAACACTAGAAATTAGAATAGAGAAAGGGTTTATCTGAGATGAGCAATAAAGATTTTCTTTGTATAATCTATTTATTCTTTAATGAATAAATATTGTTACAGATAAATCAAAATTCATATTGGTCCTCTTGTGGGACCAATACCAATATTTCTAGGTGTATGTGCTGCCATACCACAGATACCTAGAAGTGTTTCCTTTAATAACTAGATGTAGTGACATGTACCTGTAGTCCCAGCTTCTTAGAAGGCTGAGGCAGGAGGATCACTTGAGCCCAGAAATTTGAGGCCAGCCTGGGCAACATAGTGAGAACCCATCTCAAGGGGAAAAAAATGTTGAAGCTTTTAAGAAAGGTTTGCAAAACCATCTAGTGCTGGTCACACAACTATAATCCCAGCTACTCAGGAGGCTAAGACAGGAAGATCACAAGTTCAAGGTGAGACCAGGTAACTTAGGAAGATTTGTCTCAAAATAAAATAAAAAGGACTGGGGATGTAGTTTGGTAGTACAGCACTCACCTAGCACACAGGAGGCCTTGGTTTCAATCTCCAATATCACACAAACAAAAAAAGCCAATCTATTTAATGACTTTAGCACTTTTACTCTACTTAATGAATTTTACCAATGTAAAAGGGTTTTTTTTTTTTAATTCCTTAAAGTTGGGTCTATACCCTGTAATTTTTAGAATGCCCTTACTAGCAGTGAATTGAGTTACTATATGCCTTTGAAAATTTCTGTTGTTGTTTGTAGTACAGGGGATTAAATCCAGGATCTCACACATGCTAGGCAAGTGTTCTACCACTGAGCTAGATCCCCAGACCTGAAATACACTGATTTTGTTTTTGTTTTTATTTTTTGGTAATGGGGATTAAGCCCAGGGGCACTTTCCCACTGAGCTATATTCCTAGCCATTTTTCATTTTTTATTTTGAGATAGGATCTTGCTAAATTGCTTAGGGTCTTACTCAACTTCTAAGCCTGGCTAAAGGCATGTGCTGCCACACCACAGATATACTGTGATCTTTAAGTCCTAAATGAGCTATCTCAGAGCATGCCAATTTAAGGGCATATGTCAACCAGAATTTTACACTGATCCTGGGTAAAGCAGTACAATTCTCCAGCCTGCTTTAATTGGTCCCCCACTCCCCGCTTTTGGAATTACTTACTTCTTCTGAATAGCTTCTTGCCTAAAATAGAAAATGAAAGAGGAAAATAAACATAAGAAAACCTGGTGAATTAGTAGAAGTTATTTATGATATATACAGATATATACAGGCAGAACAAATTTCCAGCTCTATATTTCACACTCTATATTTCTGTCCATCCTCTCCAAAGATTATTATAAGGGATTCTTATCTGAGTGCAGAGCTGCTAAAAAAAAATGGATTCTAAAAAACAAATGCCAAATGTTTTCTCTGATATAAGGCGGGAGACTCAAAGTGCAATAGGAAGGGAGAGCATGGGAGGATGATTATTTCTAGGTAGGGAAGAAGGGTGGGAGGGAAAGGGAGGGGGAAGGGGAATAGCAAGGATGGGGGAAGATGATGGTCATCATTATACAAAATATATGTAAGAAGATTTGAAATCAGTGTCAGTATACCTTATATACAGAGATATGAAAAATTGTGGTATATATGTATATTAAGAATTGTAATGCAAAAAAAAGAGTACATGTACAATGGCATAATTTGGCGTGAACATACTTTATATTCAGAGTTACGAAAACTTGTGCCGTAATGGGTAATAATGAGTGTAATACATTCCACTATTGACATGTATGTAAAAAATTAAAAAAGAAAGAAATCCTCATCTCCCATGTGATGACATTAGGGGTGAGGGCTTTGGGAGGTATTTAGGACATGAAGGTGTCGTGTAATCTCTCATGCATGGGAGTAGTTCCCATTGGAAAAGAGAAATGATTTTTCTTCCTGCCACATGAGGATACAATGAGAAGATGACCATCTGTGAAATAAGAGGAAGGCCTTCACCAAGAACCCAACCACACGGAAACCTTGATCTCAGACTCCCAGACTCCAGAACTGTGCAAACTAAACATTTGTTTAAACCACCAGACTATGGTATTCTACCACAGCAGTCTAAACAAAGACACCACATCTTACCCCATCTCCTTTAAACTGTCTGACTTTAGAAAACCTAACCTCTGAAACCCTGATTATGCCACCAAATCTTTTACAATGCATTATAAAAATGAGAAATATATAAACATATCATACAGATTAATATAACCACAGAGGAGGTCAGAAATGATCAATAGAAAAAGAGAAGAATTCCTTTCACAGGACTCTTGAAGCAGTTGCCACAAAGTTCTTCCATGGATCTATGTCCCTTCCTATAAAATAATAATACTGTTTATAATAATAATTACCATCAATCAGTGTTACTATAGTAAGTAAAGGACAGTTGTTGAATAAACTTTAGGTCCTTGCAGATGATAATTTCCTAAGAACATTAATGCCCTTTTCCTATTCTACCAATGAAGCTGCATTTTAGTGTCTTTGTGGAGGTGATGGGGAGGGGGATCTGGACATCTCTTTTCCCACACCAAAACTCCCTTCATACTACTGAGGAATTCATAAACAGCTGCTAAATTGAGTAGCTCACTCAAACTTCCACATCACCCTAACATTTCATAAAATGATTTCAAAAGAAATGCTCAGAAATATCAAAAGTAATTACCAATGGATGGTATTACTAAAAAATGATTTTTTATGTTCTTTTTCATGCTTTTCTGTAATTTCTTATTTATCTATAATGCAAAAATTATGTTTTCATAAGGGGAAAGGTTTTTATTAAAAGTCAAGTTATGTACATTAAAAAAAAAAAAAAAAAAAAGATGGATTCTAGGGCTGGGACTGTAGCTCAGTGGCAGAGAGCTTGCCTAGCATGTGTGAGGCACTGGGTTTGATTCTCAGTACTTCATAAAAAAAAAAAAAAAAGAACTAAACAAATAAAGACATGCTGTCTATCTACAACTATTAAAAAAAAAAAAAAAAAGGTGGATTCTAAACTAAAGAGGTAACAGTACTCTCCAGAGTGAGGGAGTGGTCCAACAAACCAGAAGAATGGCTCAAATTCAGCAGCTGGTTCCATGTAACATGTGGATTGTAGGACACAGATTCCCATTACACTTGATTCCCTGGTAAAGGAGCAGTTACCACAGGGGAGACACTGGGCACAGTTGACAAATACCAGGTGCTAAGCACAGTGCCAGCATAGTCCTGGTATGGGCTCTGACATTATAGGATATCCCTCTGAGGAGTCCTCATATTAACAGAGGGAGGTTCACAAAAGGTGGCCCATGCTCCTGATCTCACCCTCTAACTCAGCTTCTAAAATGTCAGGCCTCTCTCCACAGAGGAATTTCATCCTTGACCAACCTCACCTTCACTCCCAACCCTGCCTCCATGGGGAAAATGTGCTGAAGCACAGAAGAAATGAAAGCGGGCTATAGACGATTTTGCCGCAAGCAGTTGCTAGAAAGGGAATACTCACTGATACTGAAGATGTGTTGTTATTATTGCCATTTTCCTTAAGCTCTGCATAAAAAGAGAAAGAAGCAGAATATTCCACTTCCTGGTAGCCACACAAACTATGTATCTAAACCCAATCCATATAAAAAGAGAAAGAAGCAGAATATTCCACTTCCTGGTAGCCACACAAACTATGTATCTAAACCCAAATCATACAAGAAATTATTTCTTACGTCTTCGGAGTGCAAGATGGCATCTTCCTGTAGTACCATGTTTCGAGCTGCCTGACCCAGCAGCTGGAAGACAAGAATAAAATGGTAATGATCAAAAGTTCCAAACTTCCTGCAATTTTCTCTGTGCAGCTGTTTCACCACCATCCTCTCCCTCCTGCCCTCCTCCATCGAACACAACCACAAATGTTCATAATATAATGGAGAAGAACTTTCCATTTGTTCGTATTGCAAATTCATTTCATTGGCACTGTGGCAGTTCTGGCATGGGCTTGACATCTGTCCAAAAGCCACCTCCTGAGAATCTGAATGCTCCAAGACCACAGGGCATTCTGCATAGCTTATTCATCAAGTGTCAAGAGAAATCAGCACGAAACCTTTGTCTCCGTAAGTCCAGTGACAGAACTTGACTTCTGATTCTTTCTTTCTTTCTTTTTTTTTTTTTTTTATGGAACTGGGAATTGAACTCGGGGCACTCAACCACTGAGCCACATCCCCAACCCTATTTTGTATTTTATTTGGAGACAGTGTCTCACAAAGTTGCTTAGCACCTCGCTTTTGCTGAGGCTGGCTTTGAACCTCACTATCCTCCTGCCTCCACCTCCCTAGCCACTGGGATTACAGGTGTGTGCCACTGCGCATGGCTCTGACTTGATTCTTTAAAAGCAAATTTGGAATCTGTGGTAGTTTGAGAGTAGTGAGGTAGCAGGAGTTGAGGCTAGGCTGGAAAAGACGGGGAATGGATCTGTCTAGAAATGCAACTCAGTGCTGGAACTCTTACCTAGTGTACAAGCCTAGCACCACCAAAAAGAAAAAAGGAAGACAATAAAAAGGATGGGGAGGGGGTCCTGAAAAGAAGCTCCAAGCTTAGAGTGGGAACCACTACATGGAAGATGCCAGATGGGGTTGGAGAAGAAAAGCAAGGAGAAATGTGGAGGCAGATTTTAATGAGTTCACGGATAGCTGGGCCCTGGGACCAAGAGAGAAAAGCTGAGCTTGGCCTCAGCTGGATGGCCTGAGGTCACAGCAAAGCTGACTGAATTGACACTGAGAGGCAAGCAGAGATCAACTAAGATTTCTGGCCTCATGGTGTACCCTGCTCCCAGCATCCTAAGTCCGGCCCTATAAAGGTGTAATGTGCATCCTATCAGCCCTCCCTGCTCCCCTAGGGCAGACAGTCTGGTGAAAATGGAGCTGATTTCAAATTAACCAGGAACATTAGTATTGCTGTAGTTCCCAGATTCCTTCTCCCAGGAAAACTTTTATTTATTTTTCTTTTCAGTTTAAGTTTTAAAATTAGTAAATCTTTATGTACTTCTGAAGTCTGAACAATAAAATAAAAACCTTCCATCTCTGTCCCTCCCCCACCCTCCATGCATGGCTATTTTTATTAGTTTTTCGTTTAACTTTCCATTGTTCCATTTTAAAACAGGGACAGTTGTATAGTTGTCCCTTGGTATCTGCAGATGATTGTTTCCCGGCCCCAGTGGATACCAAACTCTGTAGAGCTCAAGTCCATTATTTAAAATGCCACCGGGGTGGGTGGGCAGTGAAGAATGAAGGAACTTTGGATTGCGGGGGGGAGTGAGGGGAGGGGTGGCGCTGTGGGGATGGGAAGGGTGGCAGAATGAGACAGACATTATTACTCTATATACGTGTATGATTACACTACTGGTGTGAGTCAATACCATGTACAGCCAGAGGAATAAGAAGTTATGCTCCATTTGTGTACAGTGTATCAAAATGCATTCTACTGTTATGTATAGCTAATTAGAACAAAATTTTTTTAAAGTGTCGCTACCAAAACAAAACAACAACAACAACAAAAAAAAAAAAACTTTAGGTATACGTGGGCCTGAGCCACTTCATCACAGGCAGATATGCGCTTTCCACTCTGTTCCCTGACAGTTGGAAATACTTCTGGGTCCAGATAAGAAACAGATGCATTACATGTCAAAAAAAAAAAAAAAAGCCACAATATTTGCTTATAATCTATACTCATTTTCCTGTACCCTTTAAATCATCTCCAACTTACTTATAATATACAATACAATGTTAAATGCTATGCAATCAGTTACACTGTATTGTTTAGGGAATCATGACAAGGGGAAAAAATCTGCACATGTTCAGTACAGGCACAAACATCACAGACGTAACTACATTTTCAATCTGCAGTTGATTGAATCTGTGGATATAGAACCTGTAGATATAGAGAGCCAACAATATGTATTTACTCCCTCCCAGTTTTTACTTAAAATGTAACATACTATATGTATTCTTCCACACCCTGCTGTTTTCATGTCATAATACAACCCTCACATTGATCTGCAGCAACATATATTGAATGTCCTTCATTCTTTTACAACTACAAGTACCACACTATCAGTCTTTGGGGTTGTTTCTAGTCTTTTTTTTTTTTTTGGTATCGGGAATTGAACTCAGAGGTACTTGACCACTGAGCCACATCCCCAGCCCTATTTTGTACTTTATTTAGAGACAGAGTTTCACTGAGTTGCTTAACACCTTGCCATTGCTGAGGCTGGCTTTGAATTCACGCCTCCTACACCCAGCTGTTTCCAGTCTTTTGCTATTGAAAGAAGTGTTACAAGGAACTCTTATGTATATCTGCATTTTTGCTAGCTTACCTTTGGGACAGACTCATAGAATCATGATTATTATATGTAGTTTTGCTACAATATTACCAAATCCCCTCCACCAGGGTTGTGCCACTTTGCATTCCCACCAATAATGTATGAAAGTGTGTGTTCCACTCCTATGGCCACTATTTTCTATTTTTTTCAATGCTATGGATTGAACCCAGGATCTTGCCTGAGCTAGGCATGTACTATACCATTGAGTGATGCTGCCATATCCCTACAGTCACCTTTTCTTGGGGGTTGGGGGATTGAACCCAGGACCTTATGCATGCGAGGCAAGCACTGTACCAACTGAGCTATATCCCCAACCCCTCTACAGCCACTTTAAAGTAACACAATTCAGACACCTATAGATGGGGGATAGTGAGTGACAAACTAATTGCATAAAGAAAGGATATTAATAAAATATGTTATTCATTCAACAAATATTTTTTGAGTACTTAGAATATATCAGTTCTCTGAATAAGAGTAATAAGGGGGCTCACAATTTTGGAGGGGCAACAGAGTCATAGGCACTAAAATATATTGAGGGAAGTATTGACAGGGGTACTTAAGCAGTGGGTACTTAAGGAGCATGTGGGAGCAGGGATGTCCAGCTTATTAGGAGGGTAGCTATTCAGAGAGGGCTTCCTAAAGAAGCAACTTATAAGCTGAGATGTAAAGGTTAGGATTTAGACTCATTTTACATGTAATTTTTCAGAAAAATAGAATTATTAGATTTACTATTTTAGAAGTGTGGTAAGCAGAATGGACTGGAGGCAGGAAGATATAGACAGACAGAATGGTTAAGAGGACATGACAGGACTTCAGACAAGCAATAAACACAGAATGTGAAAAAGGGGGATTTGAGAAACATTTAGAAGATAGATGTGATGGAACGTGCAACTGCCTGGAATGCAGGGGCTGTCGCAATGCAGGGCCAAGGCCTTATCCTTGATGACCAGATGTACTTACTAGCACTCTGCATCATTTTCTTACATAAACCAACAACACATCTATCATCTAAGACTTCCAGCTTTGCCTTCTTTAAAATGGAACATCTTGAATATACCTGAAAAAAAAACAATCTGAGCACGGAAACTCAATAAGTTTGTTTTAGCTACTCATCTGCAACAAGTATTTCTGATTTTTCATGTTAGTTTTTTTAATAATTATTTTTTTAGCTTTAGGTGGACATAATATCTTTATTTTTTATTTTTATATGGTGCTGAGGATCTAACCCAGTGCCTTATGCATGCCAGGTGAGCGATCTACTACTTGAGCCATATCCCCAACCCCATCTTCATCTTAGTTTTCATAGCAATAGCAGCTCTATTTTTTTCATATGATTACATTCAATTATGTAGCTGCAATAACAAGTATAAGGGACACACACAGTTCAGGAAAAACACAATGGATCCTCACTAAGCATATGACTCAGCTGGATAGGACAGGTGTGTGAGAATAGCATATTAGTGACAAGCACTCCTGTGCTGTAGGCCTAAGTGGGCACCTGTCTCCTCACTTCCTGCTCCTGGCACACTGGACTCCCTACATTCCTTATACTCACCCTCACCTCAAGGCCTCTGCATTTGACATTTTGCTCCAGATATCCACATGGCTTGCTCCCACACTTCATTCCATTGTCTGCTCAAATGTCACCTCCCCAGAGGCCCTTTCCTGACCACCCTGCTGAAGGTAAACCCTTTCATCATTCTCTATTCTCAGATTTAGTCTTATTCATAGCATCTACCACCTCTTGATTTTTTGTGTGTTTCATTTATTGTCTGTCTCTTCTAAGTATAGGAATTTCGTTTTGTTTATCCCTTGCACCTAGAACAGCTCCTGGCATATAGCAGGAACTCTTTGTTAATAAATATTTGTTAAATGAATGCTGTGGAATGAGTGTTTTACAAGTGCAAATTGTCAATTAAACAAATAGCTATGTGGAGACTGCTGAAGCAATCTCTATGGATTAGAAGGGACTGAAAATCAGAAAGACACTCCAATAACCTCATAGGCTAATAAAGGAAATGGTAAAAGTACAGAAAAGGCAACATGGTATAAGTGTCATGTAAGAGATTCAGTACAGGCTGAGGCTGTAGCTCAGTAGGAGGCATTAAGTTCGATCCTCAGCACCAGATAAAAATAAATAAAGAAAATAAAGGTATTGTGTCCATCTACAACTAAAAATATTTTTTTAAAAAAGAGAGAGAGACAGATTCAGTACAAAGTTCAGAGAATTGAGAGATGATGTATTAATCCTATCTCAGAAAGCCGGCTATATTTTAGTTTAGCTCAATCCACACATTTAATTTATGAACACAAATCTAAATATCCCTCAGCAGAATCCCATGTGAAAAATACATAAGGGGAAGAATGCAAAGATGAGGGCAGTCAATGATGGCACAGTAACTTTTTGATCACTTAATTGAGCTAATAACATGAAAGGCAGTATTCAAGAGTATGAGCCTAGGACCAGGTTTGAATCCTAGCTGGTATGACCCAAAACAATTTAAAATCCTCTCTGTATCTTCTATGTAAGAAAAGTACCTTCTTTTTCAATAATTATATTTTTACAATCAATATAACATCTTAATGATTTAAGTTAAATAAAACATAGCAGTGTCCAGCATACAGAAAATGCTCAATAAATGTTAAGTTTATTATGATTTTCAATAATACCTGTGGTTAACTATGAACATTATCAATTTTTAAGTTTTATACATATTTTTATTTTTGTCATGCTGGGGATCAAACCCAGGGCCTCATATATGCTGGGCAAGTACTCTACCACTAAGCCACATCCCTAGTCCTATACATATTTGTACCATGTTTCGCCCCAAAAAACAATTCAAGACGATTTATACCAAATTATATGTATTTGTATGTATACACACACACACAATTTTCTTTTTTAAAAAAGAAAAGGAATGTAAAAGACATGAAAAACAGAAGGAATTAAACATGCAAGCACCTTCTCATATAGTTGTTTTGTTGATTGGTTGGTTGTGTGAAGCCATTCTCAGTAAAGCTAAGGGCATAACATTTGGACTGGAGATTTGGCTCTCAGTAGTAGAGTGCTTGCCTAGCATGCCTGAGGCCTTGGGGTTCATCGGGCAAGCACGCACACACACACACACACACACACACACACACATACACACACACCATTTTAAAGAAGGCGGGCTGGGGATGTGGCTCAAGCTGTAGCGCGCTCGCCTGGCATGCGTGAGGCCAGGGTTTGATCCTCAGCACCACATACAAACAAAGATGTTGCGTCCGCTGAAAACTAAAAAAAATAAATATTAAAAAAAAAATTCTCTCTCTCTCTCTCACTCTCTCTTAAAAAAAAAAGCAAAACTGGAAATATTAGCTATATTAAATGTGTGATTGTTTTATCCAATAAAATGATGAACAAAAAAGAAAACAAAACAAAATGACGGGCATATGTTTTCACTTCTCTTGAATAAATACCTATGAGTGGAGAGGCTGGGTCACTGGACCCGTTTCATCATCCTTTCACCAGTCCATGGGGACATATATTTTCATTTCTCCTGGGTGAATATCTAGTTCAATAGATAGGTCTGCTTGAAGGAGAGGCAGTGTATATAAATAAAGCTTTTTGGTGAGAGAAGCCATCAAATAATTCCATTCATGCAATAAGCCAGAAGATGGAGAGAGAAAACGAGGCAAAGGAGAAAGCTATTCTAAAACCAAACCAAACCCAGAAAACCAAGAATGTGATCAAAGGGACAAATCAGGAAGGAATAAATCCCTTGGCGATGCACAAAAGTGTGGAAGAAATCTGGGATGCTGATACAGAAATTCCGGGGCCGAATGGGCCCGATCTTCACTAGAGACAACCCCAAGTACAATTAAGGACTATTTTAAAAGCGCAGATTCTCATCACACTTTTCTTCGCTTTAAGCCGCTAGACCTACCCAAAGACTACACACCCCAGAATGCAACACGCGCCCTCCGAGGACCAGCCCCACCCCGGGAGACCAGTTCACAGCCTACACGCCCCAGGATGCAACGCGTCGACCGAACCCAACTACGAAAGACTGCCCGTTCCGGAGTGTGGGCCGGCAGCTTCCACTCCCAGCTCACCTCGGAGCTGCGGGACCCCTTGAGCACTTGCTTGGTGAGCGCGATCACGTCGGTACCACAGGTGTTCACTTTCTCAGTGAGAAGCCCCTTCACTGACTGACCAAATCGTGCTTGCGAATCCGGGGTTCCAGTCGCCATCCTAGCGAATGTCTTCGCCAATGATGGCGAGCCACCGGGGCCAAAACAGGCAAGCGTAAGGGAAAGAGGAGGCGTTTCCCCTCCACCCTATTGCGGGAAAAGGAAGAGACGCATGCGCCTAGCAGATGTTACTAACTAAACACATTTAAAATACTCAAATTGACAGCCTAAGGAAAACAAGGCCCAAGCAAACATCTCTTTTGGACATGGAGGATAACTTTAGTAAAATTGATGGTTTAGAATCAGAAGGCCTGAATTACAATCTCAGTTCTACCATTTAGCAGTTGCAAATGGCTCAACTGCTGCGTCTTATACTCCTCTTTTGTAAAACAGAAATAATAACGTTGAAGTTTCCGAAGAATTATGAAAATGAATTGATCATTTTCAGTTCAGTTTTTTATTTGTTTTGTTATTGTTGTTGTTTTTGGTACTGGGGATTGAACTTTGGCCACTCTACCACTTAGCTACATCCCCCCGCCCTTTTTATTTTGAAACAGAGTCTCACTGAGTTGCCCCGGCTGGCTTTGAATTTGCAGTCCTCCTGCCTCAGACTTCCCAGTTTCTGGGATTACAGGTGTGTGCCACCACCCCCATTTTAGCCACTTAACTTATATAACCATGAATTGGTTTATGTTTTAAAATTTTATATAAATAAAACAATACAGTATACATTCTTACCTGTGTGGCTTCTTCATACAGTATTATGCTCGTGAGATCCATCCATGTTCGTGCAAGTAGTTGTAGTTCATTCATTCTCATCACTGTATATATTCTGCTGTAGATGGTTTTTGACAATTTATCCATTCTATAATTGATAAATATGAGGGTTGTTTTCTAGTTTTGGATTATTACAAATAGTGCTGCTATGAACACTTCCCCCCCCCCATAGTACTAGGGATCAAACTTAGGGCTTCCCATATGCTAGGCAAATGCTCTACCACTGAGCTGCATCCCCAGCCTGAACTTGCCTTTTGGTGAACATATTCACACATTCTGTTGTATACACTCAGAATGGAGTTGCCAAGTCAAAGGTTCAGCTCTAGAAGAAAATGAACTTTGTTTCAGACAAAGAAGGAAAAAGAGGAATATAAGCGTAGTGAAATTAATACAAGTTTTCAGTCTAAATTATGCTATAAAGCTACACAGAATATTTTACATTGATCATTGTATTAGTGAGCTTTCCATCACTGTAACAAAATACCTTATCTAATCAACTTGTAAAGAGAAAAGGTTTACTTTGGCTCATAGTTTCAGGTTTCAGTCTGTGACCAGTTGACTTCATTGCTTTTGAGCCTGTGGGGCAGCAGTACATCATGGCAAGGAGTACAGGACAGACAGCACATAAGAGAGCAAAGCTAGTCACCTCATGGGCAGGATGTGAAAGAGAGAAAGGAAGGAGTTGGGATCCCACTATCTCCTTTGAGGGCATGCCTCCAGTGAGCAGAAGATCTCCCATTAGGCCCTACCTGTTTCCGGTTCTACCACCTCTTAGTAGTGCCTCAGGCATTACTTTTAGTATTGCCTTTAACACATGGGCCTCTGGAGGATGTTCCAGTTTATACTATAGCAACCGTATGATCCAACATTGAGAACAAAACAAAACCACAACAACCAGTCTCTGAATAAATGCAAAAGGAGAGTCTTCAGAAAGATGAATAAACTCTTTGACAAGTGAAGAAAAGATAGAAAATGCAAAATTTTAAGAAATATATAATTGTCAAAACTGACTCAAGTAGAGTCAGAGAGTTGAGAAGATCAATAACTATTGAAGAAACTGGATGTTTTCATTAGATTTGTATCCCCACAAAAGGTACTAGGACTGATTGTTCTCATGCCCATCCTTCCTTACAGTCTCAAAGAATGGATAATTCTTCTCACGATATTTAATCTTTTTTTGGCAGTGGGAGCAGGTTCAGAAGATCAAACACAGGGATGTTTAACCACTGAGCAACATCCCCACCCTTTTTATTTTTTATTTTGAGACAGGATCTATAAGGTCCTTGCTTAGCATCTGGACAGCCATCTTAAGTGACAGATACCATTTTAAGGAAAAAATTTTGCTTTCCTGCCCAAGATCCTTTCTGAGAAAGGCTCACCATACCAACCCAAGATCCTTTCTGAGAAAGGCTCCCTCATACCAACCCAACCCTTAACTGCCTGCATTAGGACCTCCTCTGCTCTGATTCCTGAGCCTGCCCTATAAAAGTCCCAGAACCCAAGCCTGTTTTGCCTCTCTCTCTCCTCTACAGAGATGGCGATTTGTCAGCTCTGACAAATAAACTCTTGTGTATATCTCTGCCTGGTCTCTGTCTTTCATTTCTCACTTCCCCATCTCTCATTCCTCGCTTTCCCTTCATTTTGGTGCCGAAACCCGGGATCAGGTTCCCCGGAGTGCCCGCTCCCTTCTTCAAGGGTCACCAAGCATCATTGGGCCCTGATCTGCATTCCATCATGGGACCAGGCCCTCCATTTTACTGAATGCCCTCTCTGTACCCACCACCAGACATTTCAGGTAAGACCCTTGTCTCCGGTCAACCTAAACGAACTACGTGTCCCGGGAAGTGACCATTGATTGTGCAGCACTCCCAGGGTTACCATGTGGTTGGGGGCATCCTGAGCCACAGCTTTCACAGCTACAGCTGATCCCTACTGTCAACTGGGTCTATAAGTGGTCTTTTATTTGGGTCCTATATTTTGAGAAAAAAAAAACAACACTGAGGATGATTGGTAGTTGTTCCTGGTGAGCTGACCTCTTGGCCTCGGGTTAATCTCTATGGGTGTTTTTGCCCCTTCTACGGGCTTCTGCCCCTTCTACAGGCTTCTGCCTCTACTATATAGTACCAGCCAGGCACCCAAGGGCCTCTACAGGCTCCTGCCCCAACGTTTACCCAGCAGTAGTGATGACCCCCTGAGCATAACCGTCCTTTTGACTAGGTGAGACTAGAGACTGGGGGACACCCCACCTCTAAACTCACCTCCTATGTCTCACCCCACCTCTAAAGTCACCTCATCTGTTCCCTCCCATAGTCCCCTAGCTGCCTCCTGACTAACCTATGTCTCTCTCTCTCACCCTGGACCTAAACCCCCCAAAAGCTTATCTGCTCATGCAATCAGATCTGGCCTCAATATCCTTTGGATAACAACTCCAAATGGCTGCTTAATGGCACTCTAGACTCCAATATTATCAGGAATCTTTTCAACTATTGTGAGCACTTGGGAAAATGGAAAGAGATATCATATGTTCAGGCCTTCTCTCCATTCTAAGCCCTCTCTCTGCAGCACTTGCTCTCCCACACAAGTCCTCTCAGCTCTCACCTCCCCTATGCCTGATTCCAAAGGGACAGAAGATCCTACCAGGGACTCCTCCTCCTTCAACCCAGCAGATGAGCCCTGTCCATTCCACAATTCTCTTTCTAATGAAACCTCTGCAGCAATTGTCCCCTCGGCCCCTCTGCCCTTTTCTCCTCCTGCCACACACTTACAGGCTGCCACTGCCTAACCTGCATCTCTGTGTCCTCTATGCCGGTGGCTGGGGTAGATGGTGTAATCCAGGTTCATGTGCCTTTCTCTTTGTCAGAAAAGCAGCTTAGGTCCTATACTTCAAGTCTCCCCACATATAACAAAGAGTTTCAGTTTCTGACCCAATCATATAATTTGACCTTCCACGATGTCCATATGATCTTATCTAACACCCTCCTGCCTGAGGAGCACAGGTGAGTTTGGGAGCACAGTTAGAAATTATGCTGATGAGGTACATCAGACTTCCCCTGCCTATCTGATTGGCATTGAAGCAGTCTCTGATTAGGACCCCAATTGGGATTACAATTCACCTAGAGGAGTAACTAGTAGAAACCAATTCATCCCATAAGGCTATTAGTTATGAAAGGCTCCAGGAACTCTTCCAAGAAAAGAATGAAAACCCTTCAACATTTTAGACCCCCTGACCAAGGCTTTATTACAATATACTAATCTGGACCCTGAGACTCCAGATGGGAGACAACTACTAATGACCTACTTTTTCTCCCAGAGTTTCCCCGATATTAAGGCCAAACTAAGGCGCCTCAAGAGGGGGCTCCTAACTCCCCAAGCTGAGGTTCTGGAAGTGGCCTTTAAGGTGTATAATGAGAGAGATGCTCACTCAGTCTGTCTGTCTGGCCTTAGCATCTGCCCCTGGTTCCACTGGCCAGCGGATGGGTCCCTCAGGACCACCCATACCCTGTTTTAAATGTCGTCAGATGGGTCACTGGGCTTGTACAAGTCTTAAGCCTCACAAGCCTCAGGGCCTTTGTTCTAAATGCCATCAGAAGGGACACTGGGTCGTTGACTGTCCCCAAGCCTATAGTGGCACCTGGCCATCCAGTCTTTCTGGTTCCCCTTTCCAATTCTTAGGACTGGCTGCAGAGGATTGACGAGGCCCAGGTCCCCATCACCCGACCAATACCATCATTCCACAGGAACCCAGGGTAACTCTGTGTATTTCAGCTATGCCTGTCTCCTTCCCCCCGAGACACCAGGGCTACATATTCAGTCCTCAAGGAGTTCTGGGGACCTAGTACTCATTCTATGACCTCTATTGTTAGGGGAGATGGTAAACCTTACCAACCCTTACAGACACCTAGCTTTGTTTGTGTTTTTGGCTCTCTGATTTTTACTCACTCTTTTTTGGTCATTCCATAGAGCCCTGTTCTGGTTATGGGAAGGGACATCCTCACAAAGTTGGGGGCTACACTTTCCTTCTCTCCTCATATACGCTTCCATCCAGACTTGCCTGCCACTCCCCTGATCCTCACCTTTACCTTAGGACCATCCCCTATTCCATCTGCCAGTGCCTTCCCACTACCCCCTTCTAAGGTGTACCCTACTCTCTGGGATTTTTCAAGTCCTATCTCCTCACACCACGAGCCCATTCATATCCGTCTCAAAGATCCCCCTCCATTTTTTGGCCCAATCACAATACCCACTCTCCCGACAAAAACTCCTAGGCTCCAGCCTATCATTCAAGACATCTTGTGAACGGGATTCCTTAGACCTTCTCATTCCCCTTATAACACCAAGGCAGCAA